ACAGAACCAAAACCCAAGCACGATGAATGATGCAGTCAACAATTTGACTAATCCACTGGCACAGAAGCCAAGCTCTCAACCAAAGAGAAGTCAAATCGAGGAGCTGCAGACAACTTACCAAACCAGGAGTCTGCATTGTAGCCGTCATCCTCGCTCAACGTCGCAAAGTTGATGCAAGGGTTTGGGACGTCGAAGGAATAGCGAGACTCTGGGTGAGACATCTTCGCCTCCACGCTGTCCCTGGGAGTCCTCCGCTCGCACCGTTAGTCCTTCAGAGAACGAGCACTGGTGAGCTGCTACAGCAAACCCCAGCAGAGGTGTCAGCCACCCACCCCGTTCTCCACCTCTTCCCCTCTCCACTGTTTCTAGAGACAGGCACTGAGAGTCTTTGGCACGTTCTGTACCACAGGAGGATTCACAGCCTTTGGACAGAAGGGCTCACAAGCAATGCAGGCTCAAAACCCTCAAAAGGCCGTATCTCAAAGGCTTCCTTTGTGCCTGGAGGTGCTAGAAGTGCGTTTTCAGAAGGAAGCAAAACACAAAGCCTTTCCAAGTGACTGATTTGCCCTTCCCTCCCTGAGGGCACGCAGCAAAGAAGAGTTCTTACTGTTACAGCAGAGATTTATAGAGCAAGCGCCTGACAATTCCAGAGCACTGCAAAGCTCTGTCTTTCTCCCTCAGAGGGCTACAAACAAGAACTAATAACACCAGCGCGCTCCTCTGCGGAGAATATCCATTTCCAAAACAGAAGAGTTCTGCGTAGCATTGTTACCAGCAGCAGGAAGGCAGCAGCACGGGGTGCTTGGCGAGTCCCCGGGCACTGCCCCGAGAGGGCGGCCAGGCTATAAACAAACCGCGTGCTGCGGGAGTGTCAAGAACAGTCCCTGCAGTTAATTAGTGGAGCACTGACAGCAGAAGGAATCCCTGTGTCAACAGGTGTTATTAAACACGAGGGAACAGGAACAAAGCCAGCAGCTCCGTTATAAATCTGCAAACTGCAACAAAACCTTCCTGCAAAGGTGTTCTCGGGATGCCTCACGCAGCTGCAAGGCAGAGCCCAGGAGGACATTATACAACTCTCCCACGGGAAATCACCTGGACGCTGCTTTTTTTGAGTTTAAACAATTCTAAAGCAGCACATTTGTGATCCACGAAGTCTGAGACCTCTGCCATGGGTCCAGGCAGAGCATGGTTCAACTTGGACGGCGTGCTCCATAAATAAGAATACGTTTAGGAGTAAATCCAAGCAGTGTTTGGGAGGCGCTGCTGCTGGTTCCAGCTGTCAGCCCTACCTCCTGGAGGTGGCCCCGCAGAAGCCCCCGGAGCCCCAGCCCCGCAGTGCTGCTGTTGGGGGCAGAAGGCCACCACGCCAGCATCATCCACACGGCTGAAGATGGCAGGGCAAGACCCAGAGAAGGCAAACAGAAGAATCAGAGCCAAAACCAACCGCAAGCGAGCTCAAGACACGGCTGGAATCGGATGCTTTCCTACCACCCTCAATCAAGATAAGGTTTCTGTCAACACCATCCCCTTTTTTTAAAATCAAATGCGTCATCTGCATTCTGCCCTCGCCCTGCCCAGCCAGCCCGCCAAGCCAAGCTCCGGGCGTCGTGTTTCACAGCGCCTCGTACCACTGCTGCAGAGCTGAAACCGCTTCACGTCACCCAAATCACTCCAAGATCTCAGTGTGTAAAGCCCCCGTCCTGCCCTGGGCAGCCCGGGAGGGATGCCTGCCGCTGAGCCCCTCGGGCTGGGCTGAGGAGGTGGCCACGAAATCAGCAGGAGCGCAGCAGGAGCACGCTTCCACACAGCAGGTTGCTTGTGTAGGAGTTATTCTGAATGAATCCCAGAGCCTGCTTCAGCCAGAGGAACTCACAGCATCCCCTCTGCACCTCCTTACCTGTCCCCCAGCTCCTGCGGGGAAGGAGAATCGCTGGGAAGCAGCAGGGGGCTGGGAGGCAGCTCAGCGCTCAGCCGGTGATTTATTGCTGAGACACTCACTGCTACGGAGCCTGAAACCAAAAACGGGCTCAGCCAAGTTCAGCTCATGGTTTGCTGCCTTAACGCATTCAAAAACACCTGATTGTAATTCGATGGCAGAATCACCAACATCTCAGTCTTTGCTTTGAAGGCAGGAGGCAAAACTCTGCCCTCCGCTGTAGGGCTCTTCCATGGGAAGCCAGGTGCAAACATTTCTCCTCATTAATAGGAAATTATTAGGAAATTAATAGGAAATCCTGCATTAAACCACACCACAGGGAAGGGAGCCCTGCTCCCCACATCCCTCACCTCCCACCCTGACACCAGCACTCGCAGAGCAGGGAGCCCACGGCCCCCTCCTGCAGCAGGCTCAGCACCCAGCTGGGTGGTAGCCGGACCAAGAGGAGCTCGGAGGAGGCAGCACCAGGTCCCCTGGCTTTAGGAGCAGCCCAAATTAATGTGATGAAAGCGACCACACGGCGAACACCTTGCTTCTCCTCGCTGAGCCAGGCAGGCCACAGCCACAGCCCCCCCTTGGGCAGTGCCCAAACCTGGGTGCCCCGCACAGCGAGTTTCCTTTGAGTACCTCCCCAGCACGTTCCAGAGGAGTGCCTTGGCCTGGTTTCGGTCAGTTGGCTTTGAGCAAGGATTGAGCTGAACTGGAACGAGAATTCCTGGCCCAGAATAAGCCTGATCCAACAGCGGGCACAGGATGTATTTTGGAATAACTTCACACCTCGCTCCGATCCAAATGAGCTTGAAAACACTGACACGATTCCACCCAGGTCTGCTCGGCCTCTTTGTTTCGGTGCAGTCGCCAATTTCCTGCCAAAAAACATCTCAGCTGGACAAGGCCTGAGAGGAACAACTCCAACAAGACCCAGCACAGTCCTGGCCTAGCTGCAACACGAGGAACTCGGCACCAAGCACGTGGTGAGGGAACGTTTCAGCACAGTTATGAGCTAACCAAAAGAGCCTCTTACTTTAGAGCAGCAGCCTGGTGGTCATCGAGAAACTGTGACAGCACTGCTGGGGACAAAGGAGCCTCCCAGCCCAAGTGTCAGAGAGAAGCAGAGCTGCAGGGGAAGAAAATTGATGTCTGCAGCACCAGCCTTTCTTCCTCTCGCACAGAGCGGATGATCCGAAGCTCCCAGATGCTTTTTGCTGGCTGACACACAAAGAGGCCTGTTATGAAGGGCTGCAGGCTGCCTCTCCGGAGACACGGCCCTGCCAAAGCCTCGTGGAAGCCATCCCACCCCGGAGCTGCCACGTGAGCTTCTCCTGCACGACGCCAGCAGCATCCTCGCGTCTTCCCCAGTGGGGTTAAGCGAGTGCTTGTAACCATTCGGGATCTGCAGCTTCTCTTTCTTCTCTGGTTTTCCTCTCCCAGTGATGTTTCCGCAGCACAGAACCGATGCTAATTCATCACCCCAGGTGCAAGGCTCCCACCCCACCCCGCAATGCCCAAACCCAGGCTGTCAGACCAAAAACACCCAGGCAGGAGAGGAGCTCGCAGCGCTCCCCGGACCACCCTGAGCCACCAACTTCTCCTACAACAAAGGAGGAGCGAGGAGAGGAGCGAGGAGCCGGCGCTGCAGCTCCCCACGAGCAGCCTCAACCCCCCCAGCCCACAACGAGCACCCCCGACACCTCCCCGGGCGCACCGAGCTCCGAGAGGCGCAGGGCACGGGGCTCTACCGGGCACCGCAGGCTCGTTATTACCGGCATTGGGGCTCCTCTCCTTCAGCCGTGCCACACCGGGGGTCTTACCGTTCCCCCGGCCGTGTCCCCCCTGTCCCGTTCCTTCCCTTTTGTCCTCGGGGTGAGCACGGGGCCTCTCCGCGCTCACCCGAGGCCTCCATCCCCGGTCCCGGGGCTCACCTCGGCCCCACCGGCCCAGCTCAGGGACCCCACGGGCACCAACCGGGGCTCCCGGCCCCGTTCCCCCCTCACCACCGGGGCGCTCCCGGTCCCGGTCCAGCCACCGGCAGGGCAGAAATCGAGGCCTGGAGGCCGCGGTACCGAGGCCTGAGCCCGGAACAGGGCCCGGGGCCAACGGGGGCAGCGAATTCAGCACCGGGACCGGACCGGGGCAGCACCGGGGAGCGGGGGGAGCCAACCGGAGGCCAAGGGAGCCCCTTCCCGAGGTTCCCAGAGGTGCCGAAGCCGCCCCGGCCCCGCCGGGCCCCCCCCCGGCCGCCACTCACCTCAGCGCCGCGGCCGCCCTGCGCGGCGCCCCCGCCCGCCGCCGTTAACGGATTTCAAACGGGGCTCGGCCGTCCGAACCAGCCAATCAGCGCCCTCCGCACGGCCCCGCCGCGAGCTGATTGGGCGATCCGCCTCCAGGCTCCAGGAGGACCCGGATGTGCCGGCCCGCCGCGCGGGGGGTGACGGGAAATGTAGGGCACAAACCCACAGGGCAGTATGCGGAGAGCCGGAAGCGAACTACAACTCCCATAATGCACAGGGAGATGGAGTTTAGCCAATCGGGAAGGGCAGCGCTTTGAGTGATGTCCTGAGGCAGCCAATCAGCTGCTTAGGGGGCGGGTCTCTCGGCCAGGCGCCTCTCGGGGCCCGCGGCCGCCCTCTGCGGGCTCGGCAGGGCCCGGGGCGCCCGCCCGGCGGCACCGAGCGCGGCGGGGCCGGGGCTGTGCCGCGAGCACCTGCCCGGTAGGAGCGGGGGCTGCTCCGTTGTGAGCCTAGCTGTGCCCGTGGAGCCGCCGGGCCTCAGCCAGCTCCTTGCCACACGAGCCGAGGCAGCCGGGCCTCCCGCCGCGTCAGGGCCCGAACGGTGCTCGGGGAGCTGCGGGGGGCACCGGAGAGGCGCTGCGGGGCGGCCGGGGCCTGGTCCCGGTACAGCGGCACCACCGCGCCGCCGCCAGCAGGGGGCGCTCCAACCCCGCCCTCCCCCTGCTCTTCTGCGCCTGCGCAGTGCCGCGCCTTCCCCTCCCCTCCCTCCCCCTCCCCCTTGGCGCATGCGCACTGCTCCGCACCGTGCCTCACAGCGCCGCGCGCATGCGCAGTGCCCCCGCCCGCCCCCTCCCGCCCCGTCGCACCCCCCCGGAGCGCGGCGGCCGCCGGGCGGTGATGCGGAGCGGGGCCGGGCGCTGCTGAGCGGGCCGAGGCCCGGCGGGGCTCCCGGCGGCTCCCCGCATCGCTACCGGCCTAAGGCTGAGCCGCGGGGGCGCTCCCGGCCCGGAGCCTGCGGTGAGGCGCTGAGGTGAGGGGCGGAGCGGGGCGGGCCGTGAGGGACAGGCGGCTCAGCCAATGGGAGCGGCCGAACGCGGGCCACGCCCACACGGGGAGATGCTGGCGGCTGATTGGCTGAGGGGAGGGGTGGGGGGCGGGACTTAGCGGCAGGCCTCGTGCGGGGGCCCCGTGAGCGGCCCGGGACCGGGGGACGGGGGGGGGGGGGCACGGAGAGGGCCAATCCTAATCCCAATCCCTGTCCTAATCCTAATCCTAATTCCAATCCCTAATAACAATCCCAATTCCTATTCACAATTCCAATCCTAATCCCATTTCCAATCCCAATCCCATCCCTAATCCCAGTTTTAATCCCAATCCCAGTCCTAATACTAATCCCAATCCTAATTCCAATCCCTAATAACAATCCCAATTCCTATTCCTAATTCCAATTCCAATCTTAATCCCAGCCCTAATCCCATTCCTAATCCCAGTCCTAATCCCAATCCTAATTCGAATCCCTAATTCCCATCCTAATCCCAATTCCAATCCTAATCCCATTTCTAATCCTAATTCCAGCCCTAATCCCAATCCTAATCTCAATCCTAATTCCAATCCCAGTCCTAATTCCAATCCCTAATTCAAATCCCAATCCTATTCCTAATTCCCATCCCAATTCCAATCCCAATTTCAATCCTAATCCCATTCCCAGCCCTGATCCCAATCCCAGTCCTAATTCCAATCCCTAATCCCAATCCTATTCCTAACTCCCATCCCAATTCCTATCCCAATTCCCATCCCAATTCCAATCCTAATCCCATTCCCAGCCCTAATCCCAATCCCAGTCCTAATTCCTATCCCTAATTCCAATCCTATTCCTAACTCCCATCCCAATTCCAATCCCAATCCCAATCCCATTCCCATTCCCATCCCTAATCCCAGTCCCAATCCCAATCCCAATCCCCTCCTTATACTCCCATGCCCCTGGGGGCTCCCCATCGCCCCCCCTAGCCCTCCCCTCACCTCATTACCAGCCCGGTGCCCACTGGAGCCATTCCCCGAGTCCAGGCCCCTCCATTCACCCCCCGGTGCCCGGTTTTCACCCTTTCAGCCCCAAATCCGAGCCACCCGGTGACACCCCCAGCCCCACACACCGGGCGGTACCGGGCTGAGCCCTGCCCGGCGCTGAGTCACGGCCCCGCGTTGGGCAGGAGGCTCCCGGCTCCTTCCTACCCCCACGTCTCATTGCAGCCACCCCTGAGCCCTGCCACCGGGATCCACCGGGAAACCGACCCCCGGGGGAGGCTGACGGGGCTTGGCGGAGCTCGGGGGGGCACCGGAACGGGCACGGAACCCCCTGAGAGCCCCGAGCAGGGCGAGGGAGGGGTGGGAGGGCTGGGAATCGCCTCCTGGCAGCCCCACGTTGCTCTGATCCAAACCCTCTCCAACGCAGCTGGTCCCGACGCCGAGCCGAGCTGAGATTTGCCAGTCCTGAGGTTTTTTTTTGGTCCTCTCCTCCCAGGGTGAGTACGGCAGCACCGCCGCGTCCTGCACCGGGTTGGGATCCCTGCGAGGAGGGAGGCTGGGGGGGGGCTGCCCCCTTCTGCCCCGGTTCTCCCAGACTCCTGGGAGAAACCAGTACAGGAGAAATGCCTGGAACTGGGAGCGCTGGGGGGGGTGTGCAGGGGGACCTGGGGCCTTTGCAGAAGAAGCCCAGCACTCAGAATTTGCCCGTGGAGACCCCCGAGGGTGCAAAATACCCCTCAAAAAAAAAAAAAACTCGTGGTTTTGTCGGTGCCTGGTAGCAGGAAGCATTTTGCAGAGCTCCCTGGGGGGGGGCTTCTCTTCCTGCCTTATTCCTCGGGACGCATTTTAATGCTGCACTGAGAGCCCCGGACCCCCCCAAATCCCTCCTCCCCCTGCACCCACAGCACCCACCCTCCCCGGGAGCCCCCCTAATCCTCACCTGCAGCTTTTAGGGACGCTTTGCCCCTTTTTTCCCCCTTTATAGGGTCAGAGGGACGCTGCCCTTTTGGGACCTGGCAGCAGGATGGGGATGGGGATGGGGACAGGCACCGGGGGGGCTGCACCGAGCCCTCCTCGAGCCGTTGGGCAGCGCCGTTGGGCAATCCCGGGAGAGGAGGGGAGGGGGGGGGGGGCAAAGAACCGGGCCCTTTAACGGGCGGGGCTGGGGGCGGCGCTGCCTCCACCTCCGCGGAGCTCCGGGGCTGGCGGAGCAGCGGGACCGGGGCCGCCCGCAGCTCCCGCACAGCCGCCCGCACCCGGTGAGCCCGGGGGCTGCGGGGACAGGAGGGCTGGGAGAGGGTCCCGGGGTGGTTTTGGGGTGGTTTGGGGTTGATTTTGGGGTGGTTTTGGGGCGGTTTGGGGGCTGGGCAGCGCTATGGGGCTCGGGGCTGCCTCCTTAACCATTTCTCTGCCTCCTTCCCCCCCGGCGTGTGGCCGTGCAAAGGTCGGATGCTTCCCGCACCCTCCCGAGGGGGCTGATCCGCGGCGTGCTCCGGACCATGGACTCAGTGGGGGCTGCCCAGGTGTGAAAAATGTCCAGCGGCAACCGGGAGCTGGTGATCGACTTTGTCTCCTACAAGCTGTCGCAGAAAGGCTACAGCTGGAGCCAGCTGGAGGAAGAGGATGAGAACAGGACTGAGTTGGCTTCCGAGGCCGCCGCGGTGCTCAACGGGAGCCCCTCCTGGCACCCCCCAGCCGGCCAGGTAGTGAACGGCGCCGCCGTGCACCGGAGCAGCCTGGAGGTCCACGAGCTCGTTCAATCAGCCGCCGTCCGGCAGGCTCTGCGCGAAGCCGGGGACGAATTCGAGCTGAGGTACCGCCGGGCTTTCAGCGACCTCACCTCCCAGCTCCACATCACCCCCGGCACGGCTTACCAGAGCTTCGAGCAGGTGGTGAACGAACTTTTCCGCGATGGGGTGAACTGGGGGCGCATCGTGGCCTTCTTCTCCTTCGGAGGGGCGCTGTGCGTGGAGAGCGTGGACAAGGAGATGAGGGTCCTGGTGGGGCGCATCGTGGCCTGGATGACCACCTACCTGAGCGACCACCTCGACCCCTGGATCCAGGAGAACGGCGGATGGGTAAGGGGGTGCTCGCCGTGGGGGTGGGGGGGCTCCCTGCGGTGTCTGCCAGCGCCTGCCCCGAGGCATTTTGGGGTGAGCACAACCCTTTCCCTCGCCGTCCCTAAGCTCTGTCACAAGAGCCATGCGATGGAACAAAGAGTTCGTGCTCAGCTCCGTCCTTCCTCATCCTTTTTTCCCCCCCCTCCTCCTCCCCTGTTACATAAGAGACCCATTTTCCGAGAGCCTTTGGAGAAGCCTCCCGTCAGCCCTGCTCAGTTCTTCACGCGGCAGCCCCTTGCTCTCGGGCATGTTCCTTGTGGCATTTCACAGCGGGGAGCGCCGCTTCCTCCTCCTCCTCCTCCTCCTCTTCCTCCTCCCTGAGCTGCTCCGGGCTGGCCTGCTGGGGCACCAGCCACTTCTCCATTCTGCAGACGAGCCCTTCCTCGGCTTCCACTGCGGTCGTGGTGAAGCCAAACCCCCCGGCAGATCCCTGGGGGTGGCTCTGGGGCAGCTCCACGGGGGGGCTGGGGGGGTTTTGAGGCACGGCCCCATGCTCAGGACGGGATCTGCTGCATCCCCAGCTGCTCCCCCAGCAGGTGAGGCGTTGCTGTGAGCGGGCAACGTTCCCGAGATGCCTCCTGCGGCTTCCTGGGGCTGCCAGCGGGAGGTGCAGAGCCTGCAGGTGTCGGGGTTGGCTCCTCGATTCCTCCTCAGGGATTCCCTCAGGGGTAACCCTCGCTGGTTATAGGGCTCAGGCTGAGTTGGTGGCACCGAAATGATGAGGAATCGGTGAGGAATTGGTGAGGAATTGGTGAGGAATCGGTGAGGAATTGCCGCCTTTCAGCCCCTTTCAGCCCTGGCTGCAAGGATTTGGGCAGGAGCCCTGGAGCCCCGCTCCCCTTTAGCATCGGGGGGACCCCAGGAGCCCCTGGGGGCTCCCCAGCTCCCCCCTGCCGACCCCCGGGAGCACCCAGGGCGGAGCGGGGAGCACCCAGGGCACAGGAATTCCTGGAATGTGGCCGGCCTGGGGCACTGCCTGGGTGGGGCTGCTCAGGCAGCCCTGGGAGGAGGTTTCGATTCACAACCTGGGAGCTTCTACACTCCTCTGGGGGATCTGGGCTGGATCTGGCCCCTTAGTGCTCTGCAGATAACCCCCCCCCCCAGGCCAAACGCCGCCCAGCTCCTTCCCCCTCCCTCTCTCCCTCCCTCCCTCCCTCCCTCCCTCCCTCCCTCCAGGCCTGGGCTTTTAAAGCCTCAGATTAGTCTTGGAATTGAGTGATCAAATCGAGGTTTCCAAGCTGGTGTGGCCGTTGCTGTTAGTGACGGCCCGGGCTGTATCCTGGAGACCCGGGCGATAATGCAATCTGATTTTTTGTAAATGAACTCTCCGGGGGATTTAGATTAAATCACTGGTGGAAAATCACCGCTCCCTGCTCCTGCTCCTGCTCGCGGGGGGGGGAATGAAACACCTCCTCCCCCTCCTCCCCACCCCCAACCCACTATGGCAGTTAAAGACTCCTCGCTTTTATTTTTTTTTTGTGTGCGTCTGCCTCGAAATTCATTGTTTGTAGCAAATATTTGCTCAACAGATTGCGGGAGGGTCAGGACTGCTCCTCTCTTGAGCCGCCCGCCCGCTCGGGCTTTGAAGATGCCCGCGTGGATCCCTCCTTGGGGGGGGGGGGTGTCCAGGGGATGCTTGCTGGGCTCTCCGGGCCTCCAGCTGTAGGAACGAGCTGTGGTTTGGGATCGTGGCCGTCCCTGCACCTCCTGGGGGATGTGTGTGTGATGGGGAGGGAGCGCGGCTCTGTCTCAGGTGTTGGGTTTTGTTCAGCAGCAGGGGAACAAAGCACAGAGCAGCACGGCCGGGGGGGTGCAGGCTTGATTTGGGGAGGGCAGAGCTGGAGAAAGCATTTTCTGAGGGAGGAGGGATGGTAAAACTCCGGGCAGGGCACTAACAGGGGTGTATTTTGGCCCTGCTTTGGGTTCTCCCCCTCTCCCCGCAGCCTGGCACCGGGAAAGGGGACGCGAGGAGAACCCGAGGGGGGTTCACGGGCACCCCGTCCGCTGTCAGAACCGAGGAGGACGCTTTCTGCAGGCAGATCCTTTAACCTGGCCCGCGTCCCGCTGGCTGCAAACTTTAAACAGGAAGGGTCGGAGGCGTCACGGGGTGCGGGGAGCCCCGGGGAGAGGGGAAGGCAGGGACGCGAGGTGCGTGGGGCGGCAGGCAGCGCTGTGCCGGCTGCTTCGTGTGCTCGAGGAAGGGAGCTGGGCAGGATTGTGCCACGCTGGGCATCCTCCTGCCTTTGCCTTTCCCTCCAGGCTGCGTCTCCCTTCAGAGCAGGGCTCAAAACTGGAGTTTGGGGTCCTTGGGGTGGGTCTGCGAACCCACAAGCGAGGGCTTTCCCCAGGGCTGTCCCTGGGACCCCCAAGCCGCCGGTGGTCCCGCGTGCCGGGCTGGACGCGTCGCGGTGCTCCACGGCGAGCTGGAAGCTGGCGGTTCTGTCCGGGGAAAACCCTTTGAAGATGTCAATGCAGCCAGCTCCTGTTCTATCTTTTTAACTTTTTTTTTTTTTTGGTGAATGGTAGGAAATGACTCAGAGCGTGTCATCTGACAGAGCACAGCTGGGACAGCTCGGCCCCGTGCTCGCGCTCCGGCCCTCTGCGCGGTTTCAGGTTGAGAGCTGGACTTCAGCTGCCAGCCCCAAAAAGGGTTTTGTGGCCCCCCCCTGCACACACCTCCTGCTGCTGAGCCCTCTGCACCCCGACATCTCCTCAGCCCCCCGAGATCTCCTCAGCCCCAGCTCGTCACGCTGGGCACGTGTGAGTCTGAATCATGGGCAGGAGCCCTGGCACGGCTGTGCCCTGCGCTCCGTGGGGCACGCAGCCACCTCCAGCAGCCCCCGAGGTGTCCCCTGACACCACCCGGGCGTTCCCACACAGCTTTTGGGGTGTCCAGGCACCGCTGCACCCCTCCGAGCTCTCTGGCTGCAGCCGGAGGTGCCCGGTGCCGTCTGCTTTGCGCCGTGCTTGTCTCACAGCCCGCACCCTGCACCGTGCCCCCGCTGTCCCCACCCATTTGGGATGCCACCGGCTGCTGGAGGTCCCTGCGGATCTCTGCCAGCTCCCGGGGCTGCCCTGGGAACCGGGAGGTTTTTCTGCAGCCCTCCAGGAAATGCCATTGCCATGACTTCCAGCGCCGCTTCCTGCCCGGCCACACGGCCGCATTCCTGCCGCTAGGCCCCGCAGCACACGGAAGGACGCGTTCCCAAAGCTCTGCCTCTCTCCCCGTGTGCTTCTTCCTCCTCCTGCAGGGCCCGGGCTCTTCTCCTCGCTGCTCCTGGCCCCGTGCTGGGGTTTGGTTGCTCTCCTGGGAGGCAGCAGGGAGCTGCGGGGCTGTGAGTGCGAGTGCAGCAGCGCAGGGAGGGGGGTGGTGGCGGCGTTTCCTCCCCTCCCGGGGGAGGCTGTGGGAACTGGGGCTCGCGAAGCCTTTTGAGATGCTTTAATCCAAAGAGTGGTTATAAAACACCTGCCACAGCCCCAGCAAACTGCTTCGTGCCGCTCTGTGCTCACAGCTGCTCGGGGTAGCGCCAGTCCTGACCATCCTGCTCCCCTTCAAGGCAACCGGGTCCCTCCCCGGGTGCTGCCGGGTCCCTGTCCCATTTTGGGTGCCTTTTCACATCCCAAAGAAGGAGCAGGGAGCTGCAGGGTGCTCTCAGCCCTGCAGAGCTGCAGCTTCTTGGGCCTGGGTGAGGACGAGAGGCTCCTCGTGATCCCTCTGCTTTTGGGGGCTGAGCCAAGCGCCGAGGGATCGGCCGTGCTCTCCGGCACGGTGCTGCGTGGCAGGGGAGGGGATCGCAGGCTCACGGGATCACAGGATCACAATTTGAGGGGTCGGAAGGGGCAGGGGGAGGCGGCTCTCTGCCTGCTGACCCCGCAGCCAGCGAGGGCGATTCCCTCCCGGCTGACTCAGGGCGAAGGCACCCGCCCTGCGCCCTGCTCCTTGCGCCCTGCTCGGGGCCGCGGTGTCCCCCGCCCTCCCAGAGGGATGTCACCAAAAAACACCATTGTTCCCAGCGACTGATAACGGAGGCATGAAAGGGAAGTGTCCCCCTGTGCCAGGGGCACTCCTTGGCTGGCTGCTCCGGCCTTGGACAGGGGGGAAACCCAGCTCCTGCTCCCCGTTCCTGCATGGGGGGCCCTGCAGGGAGGTGGCTGCGGCTGCAGGAGCTCCGAGGCCACCCCGGGGACACCCAGGACGGGGATTTGGGGTCTCATTTGTAGCCCTGTGCGAGAGTTTCCCCTCGGGGGGCTGCGGGGTGGCCCCGGGGGGTTGTTGGGAGCGCTCAGCTGGGGAGAGGGGTCACGCTCTGCGGCACGGGGTGAGGGCACCGGGGGCTGAGCCGTTAGCAGATGGCTCCGGGTTGGGGTTACGGGGAGCAGGTGTGGGTTTCGGGAGGCGGCCCTTTGAGCGAGGGAGAGCTGTCAGTTGTGAACCCAGGAGGCTGAGCCGCGCACGGCTGGGGAGCCGTGACCTAGTTGCGCCGTCAGAACGCTCGGCTTTTCTGTATTTTTAGGCCTTTTGCTTCTTTTATTCACGCCTTTTAATTTAGGCAGCAAATAATAAAGGCGCAGGAGGCCGAGCGGTGCCGGGAAGGGCTGGCTCTGGGTGCAAACACCCCACACAGCTCCCGGGGGCAGCCAGCATCCCCTCGGACACGAGCTCACGTGTAGCAGCCCCGTGCCATCTCCCAGGATCTCAGGAAGGAAAACCCAGGCTCAGCTGCCTGCCTGCGGGGCAGCCGGGGCAGCCACCACGTGGTGAGGTTTTGGGGGGCTGTGCGATTCCCCCCGGGGGGCAGCTGCTGGAGCTCCTCGCATTATTCTCATCCTGCAGGCTCAGCTCCTGCTTTAAGCAGATCCAATTAGCAGCAGGCTGCTGACGGCAGCTCGCAGGGGTCACCCTTGGGATGAGGAGCCCCGGGGCAGGGAGGGCGGGCTCCCCGTGGGCTGCCTGCCCCGGGTTGGGGTCCCGCTGGCTGCTGCCAGCCCCCTGCTCCCAGGGTGGCACCAAAAACCCCAAAGTGTGGCCACTTGGCAGCACGAGGGGGCTCTGAGGACCGAGGCTTCCCGGGGGCAGGACCCTGTGCCCACACGGAGGCCACCGCAGGAGCTGGCGGTGACCTGGTGGCTGCTCCCCAAAGGAGAACGGAGCAATTTGGGGGTTTTCTCCCCCTCTGCAGGGCCACGAGGCCATCCTGGTCTGGTCCTTATGCAGCTAATGCCGCGCTTTGTTCATCCCCAAGCTCTGCTGGGCCCAGCTGCACCTCGCTGTGCTTCTGTCACAGTTTGGGCTGGCAAAACCTGGGCTCCTACGGGCGCCGTGCGTGGCTGCTGCACGTGCCCCTTGTGGCCAGCTGGCTCGTGGCCTGGGCCAGGACCAGGAAGCAGGAGGTGGCCCGGGGCAGTTCCCGGGCGGTGCGGGAGGTAGGTGTTGAGAAAAATGAGGGGCTGCTGCCTCCGAGTCAGCAACCACAGCAGCCCCATGAGCGCGTCCGTCCCGTGACGCGCCAGCTCACAGGCATTGCGCTCGCCGGGGAGCTGATGGCTGTTATTAGGGCAGCTGAGCTCATTTGGAAGCTTCCAGCAGCACCAGCCAGGGATTATTTCATGGCTGGGGGAGAGCCCACAAAGGGGACACGAAGTCCCCTTCTCCTCCTGCACCGCCCCGAGACGTTCGCTGCATCGGCTCCCTCCTCGCCTCCTTCCCCCTCGGCTGCAAGCGAGAGCGCGGCCGGCGTCGGTGGAGATTTCACGGGGGCTGACGGGAAGTGAAAACAGAATGAGCACATCTTCCTCCCCTTCCTGCCCCTCCGCCCTTTCCCCTTTTTCATTCAGGGCCGTGCAGTCGCTGCAGCCTGGCCCCAGTTGGCAACTGGGGACCTCGATGGGCGTTCGCTGGGGTGCTGGGGACGGAGGCAGAGCCCCGGGGACCCGACACCCCGGGGAGCAATCCTGCTCCCAGCCCTGCTCAGGAGAGGTCTGGTAACGTTTACACACCCCAGGAGGAGATTTGGGGTAGGATTTGGTGTGCTTAAAGGCTGTGAGGTCCACGCTCAGCCCTGGCTGGGAGCGGGGCTCTGCACCCGGGCACGCGTGAGCTCCGAGCATCGTCCCCTTGGTGCGGTTCCCCCCGGATTTCCACGGGTGCTGCGACATTCAGGAGGAGCAGTGAGGAGGAGGAAAGGAGCCTTGCTCCCAGGGCGCTGCAGGACCCCAGAGATCTCCAAATTGCTCGGGCTCAGCGGCGTGAAATAACGAGAGCTCCCCCTGCCCCCCGAGCGTGCCCCCCGCACAAAAGGCAGGCGGGCTGCGCCGCCCGGGGGGGCTCAGACACCATCTGTGCGCCGGGGGGAGGCATCAGAGAGGCCGCCTGTGCCCCGTAATGCCCTTGGGATAACAATCCCCAGCCCAGCAGGTGCTAATCCCCCGAGTGGATCCGGCTGGGCCCACGTGGACGGGTCCCAGATGGGGGTCTCGGTGTGGGGCCGGGGCTGCGGCACCTCTGGGAGCCCCCAGCCTGGTTTTGGGGTTCTGCCTCGGTACCCATGAATGTTCCAGCAGGTTTTGGGAACGGAGAGCGCAGCTCCCCTCTCCCTGCCTCCTGCTGCACGCAGCAGTCTCTGGGGGCAGGGAGAGGGGTCACGGCTGCTTTCCAAGCCCCTTTTTTGGGTTTGGATACCCCTGAGGTGGTGCTGAGCCCTGTGGGGTTATCACAGGAACCCTGGAGCTGGGGTGGGAGGAGGCTGTGCTGGTTTCTGCAGCTCTGTGGGGCTGCGGGCTAACCCCGGGCACCCCTGCGCTTGGTGTGGGGCTGGGCAGGGAGGAGAAGCAGGGCCGGGCCTGTTTAATGACCCTGTGGGATTTTAATCACCCCTTTTGGAGTTTATGGCCGCATCCAGGAGAGGCAGCACCCAGGGGAGCAGAGCGGGGCCTTTGTCATGGAGACGTGCAGCTGCCTCCCCGAGGTCCCTGTTAGCACAACACAGCTGGGGCCGGGTCCCTGCTGCCCCTTCTCCACCCCGTTGGCCCCAAATCCCACCCCATTGACCCCAAATCCCGTCCCCAACCTGCCCAGGGACCAGCACGGCCTCAGCACCGGGTGGCACAGCTCCTCGCCAAGCTGAGCCTGTCTCAGGGCTCTTTTTGTGCTCCAGGCCCTCGGGGCTGGCACCGCTGCCCTCCTGAGGGTCCTGCCTTGAGACCCCAAAGTTTTAGGGCCACCCACACACGCAGCAGCCGGGGGTTGTGCCCCCCAGGGGGGGGAGCAGGGCACTGGGGGCAATTCGGAGCCGCGCGGGGACCCGCCGAGCCGTGGGATCCTCTGGCAGCGCTCGTGTTTTTGGTTCTTCTGAAAGATCTCAGCTCTGCGTTCCCCCCCCAAAACCCCGGTGCTTCCTTCACCTGCACGGAACCCCCCAGCACGCCGGGGAGCGGCACGGCCGTGTCCCCAGGGAGGTTTTGGCTCCTCAGAGCCCCGTGCTGGTGTCTCGGTGCCTCCCCCTCCTGCACGAGGGGTGCTCGGGGTGCCCAAATCTCTGCCGCCCCCTCCTCTCTCCTTGGCAGGAGAGCAGATGGGGATTAACCGCTCACATCTGCTGCCTTCACCTGCCTCGGGGCCCGGCCTTGCTGAATCCTCTTTCCCAAAGCCCCGCAGCTTCTCCTGAAAGAGGAACCCGGGGTTGCGGCGGCTGGGTTGGGGTCCAGGCGGTGCCGCTGGATGGAGGCAGCTGGCGGGGGGCAGGAGGCTGAAACCTCGGAGCTTCCCCTCCTGCTTTCAGCGAGGTGCCACCAGCACCTGCCGCTGCTCTCATCGCCCCGAGACACTTTGGGGCCGCTGGCACAACGGGGTCAGAGCCTGGGAGCACCCTAGGGTGCTTGGGTGCCCTTCAACCTCGTGTCCTGCCCTGGAACTGGGCAGGGAGAGGCAACGGGCACAGCCTCCTGCTGCTTCCTCCTCGCCTGGCCAGGGCATCCTCCTCTGTGCTGTCAGCAGGGAGGGGATGTGACGAGGCTGGTGGCAGAACACCCTGTCCTCTGGGGCGGCCCCGGGGCGCTGGAGACACTGACGTGCTGCGGAGCAACTCAGGAATTCCAAATATTTCCTCCCAGATAAAGGTGACCCCGGGGAGGGGGGAGGCCAGAAATATCAGGACGTGCCTGGGCAAGCCTGGGAGCCCGAATCTGGGGTAAAACAGGCGGAATCGGTACAGGGCACGCTGCACGGGAGCTGCAGGGCGAGGGGGGAACCACCCCTAACCCCAAAACCTGCGCCCTGGGCTCCTGCTCATGGGGCCCCCGCTCTGGGATGGTTCCCTGCGGGGCTGCTCCCTTCCCAGGGAAGGAGAGGGGCTCCCTCCCTCCCTCCCCTCGGCTCCTCTCCGCCTGTAGCAGCCGATAGCTCCCTCCCCGCCGCCTGCATTTATCTCTGGCTCAGCAAACACTTCCTTTTCTTAGAAACGGAGCTTCTTGGAACCGCCTTGCCCCAAGCTCCCGGGGCACGTAGCGCGGGAGAGGTGGCACGGAGGGACGAGGGGCTGCCCCCACGGCTCCTCTCCTGGCCCCCCAGGACCCCCTGCTCTCCTCCGAGGACCCCCTGGTCTCCTCCTCGTGCTCTGAGCTGCCCCCTCCAGAAACCTCAGCCCCGTGGGAGGGATGGGGGCACTTTTAGGAAGGGTCTGGCAGGAGCAGGGGGGATGTTTGAGCCCACCAAAGCTCTCCAGGAGCAGCTGGAGGTAACCAGCGAGGTGACCTCCCCTGGTGGGAGCAAAATTCTGCGTGTCTCGGGTGCGTCAGGAGCAGGGGATGCTCCTGGGTTCTGTAGGGGATGCTCCTGGGCTCTGCTCCCCTCCACGAGGGAGGATTTGTCCCTGAAGGGGGAGCAGGGCCAGGCACAGTTTTGGCCATTTCGTTTCCGTGGTCTCCCTCCCGGGCTGGTGGGAGCACAGCAGGCAGCAGCGGGCAGGACATCACCCCCGTGTGGCTCCGTGGCCCTTCTCCACGGCTGCCTGCACCCCAAAAACGGGGCCAGGATGCATCACAACGCCTGCACGGGGTCTGTGCCAAGCAGTCAGCCCCTGGGGAGCACCGGGAGCCCCTGGGGAGTTTCTGTGCCCCGGGACAAGGCTCTGGGCAGCAGCCCCCCGGTGTCACTGCCCCATGACTCTGCTGGCATCAGTAGGTGCTGGGGGCAACCTTTGGGTTTCCTGGCAGCTCCCAAAACTCGTCAGCCCCCTGCCGAGGCACCCTGCACCCTGCTGGGCACTTGGGGACACTGAGCAGGGAGGGGATGAGCTCCGTGCGGCACGGTGAGGGGGGTGCCCTGCAAGACACAGCCTCCCGGGGGGGTTTGTGCTGGGTTTTCCTAGGAAGGGGTCTCCGTGCCAAGGCAAGCTCCAGCCCGGCTTATCTCAGCTTTCCCAGAGCAGGCAGCTTACTGGAACCACAGCCACTTATCGGGGAGCGCGCCGGGAGCATGGCTCGAGGCCGGACCCCGAGCTTCAGGAGCTCCCCAAGGCCGGCGCCAGCCCCTTGAAACCTTGGTGCTGCTGCTGGGCTGCGATAAACGGGGGGGTGCTGCTGCTCCCTTGGACCTCAGGGGCAGGATTCAGCCCAGCCTTCCCCCTGCTGCAATGCTCTCGGTGGCGCTTGGATGCTCTCTAAAATTTTGGAGAGCCCCGAGCGCGTGGGGCGCTCCCTGCCCTCGTGGGGTCCTTCTTGTCCCCCCCCCCCCCATGTCCCTTCTTGTTCTTGCTCCCTCCCCGTGCTCACTGCTCTCCTTTTTTTTTTCCCCTCCAGGAGCGGTTTGTGGACCTCTACGGGAACGATGCTGCTGCGGAGATGAGGAAGGGCCAGGAAACCTTCAACAAATGGCTCCTGACCGGGGCCACGGTGGCCGGAGTGCTCCTGCTGGGATCCCTGCTGAGCCGCAAGTGACCCGGCCCCCCCGGGGACGGCTGCGCCTTCACCACAGCCACTACAAGGCTCCCGAGCACCCCCCCCGGGGGCAGATCCTGCTCCTTCCCTCGCGCCGCCAGCTCCTTTTCTCCTAGCTCCCCTGATTTGACCGTTCCGTTGTGTTTTCGGGGCGCTGAGGCCAAATTCAGCGCTTCAGCCGCCAGCTCCCGGCGCCGGGGAGATCCAGGCAGCCTCGGGGTGGGGGGGGGGTTGGAAAAGTGCTGGCTAGAAGGCGCCCCCAGCCCTGCAGGGTCCCTTTAGATCACTTTGAAGAGAATAAACAGACTTATTTTTGCATGTGTGGGTGCGTGCGTGTGTGTGTAGATGTGTCGCTAAGATAAAGGATCCCCAGCCAGAGCCAGGGGATGGCGGGGGGGGCACAGAGCTGAGACCCTCCCCGTCCCCTCGCCCACCAGGACGGTGCCAGGAGGAGGCTGAGGCTGAAGCTGAGGGTGAGGGGCTCCGAGCTCACCCGCCAGCCCCCTGCAACCCCCCCCCCGGGAGCTGAGGCCACCCCATGGGTGCTGAGGGTGGTGCGCCAGGCCCAGGGCTGTGCCAGGGGGAAGGGGCCTTCCTCTCCTCCTCCTCCTCCTCCTCCTCCTCCTCCTCCTCCTCCTCCTCCTCCTCCTCCTCCTCCTCCTCCTCCTCCTCCTTTTTCCCTCCTCTCCCTCCTCTCGGGGTTGCTGTGTGGCTCTGCATGCCCCCCGTTGTCCCCCCCCCCATGTCCTTCCCTCCCCACTTGTCCCCGCTCTTCGCTTTGGGGCCAGGACGGAGGCAGGCGAGGGGGGCAGAGAGCTTCCCCCCCCCCCCCCCCCAGCAGGGCAGGGACACACGAGGGGCTGCAGCACCCCAGCACCTCCCAGCACCTCCCAGCACCTTCCAGCACCCTCCAGCACGCAGGAACAGAGCGGGGAGGCGAAAGGGGCAGGGGGAGCAGGACCCCACAGTGTGGGGGGGGCTGCCGGGACAGGACCCGTGGCGGGGCTGCAGCAGGCGAGGACCCGGGAGCAGCAGCCATGGGATCAACGTGGGATCCAGTGCATGGGATCCACTGTGTGGGATCCAGCGTTGCCCCCCCAGTTGCTACCAGTCCCCGTAGGGCAGGCAGAGGGGTCCGAGCCCCCCCGGCGTGGCTGTGACGGGTGCGAGAGGTGCGAGAGGTGGTGCCCGGCTTCATCCCCCCTCCCCAGCGCTGCTCCCACCCCAAAGCATCCCCCTGGTTTTTTGGGATGGCAGCGGGGCCGTCCCCCCCCGGGGGGGGGGGTGTGTGGGGGGGCTGCTCCGTGCTCTGCTGTACATATCCGAGTAGTTTTTAATTCCTTTGTGAATACTCGAATGCTATTTTTGTTATCTGTCTGTCTGTATTTATGTCTGGTGCCGTGCTCCGGGGCGGGCTGGGGGTCGTAACGGAGCACCCGAGAGAGTGGGGTGAGAGCAGCGGGGGGGTGTGGGGGGGGACACCCTTTTCTGGGCCCCCCCACACCCCCTGATTTCCCCCCAGGATCCGCTCCCCGCGCGCCGCAGGGCGAGCGCCGAACGCTTCGGTTTGCAGGTGGAGGTGAGGCCACAAATAAACTCTGTCGGTGGAGCTGCTGCTGCTGTGCTGTGTTTTTTTTTTTTTTGGGGGGGTGCCATCCTGCGGGGGTCTTCGGGGGAGGCTGAGCAGGAGCCGGGACCCCCCTGTCCCCCCTTGTCCCCCCCTGTCCCCCCCTGTCCCCCCCTGTCCCCTCCTGTCCCCTCCTGGGGTGGTCACGGCTCTCCAAAGGGGCCGGGATGGTGCTGGGCAGTTTTTGGGGGGGGGCAGCTCCCCATCCCTGTGGTTCCACCAGGACAACCCCGTGCCCGTCCCGTTCATTTCTCGCTGGGACCGGGCTCCTGCGCCCGTCCCCACCCCAAATCTTCGCTCCTGTGCCCGTCCCTGTTTGGGGACACGGGGCCAGGGCGCTGCGCCAGGCGTTGGTTTGGGGGGGGACACGGGAAGGGCCAAGGACCAGGACAAGGACAAGGACAGGAACAAGGACAAGGACAGGGACAGGGACAGGGACAGGGACACCCCCTCTGAGGATTCTGCAAGCCCTGGGGGAGGTTTTTGGGGGGGGTTTTGAGCCCGGCCCCCTCCCGCTGCCGGTGCCGGTGCGGCGGAGCCGTGGCCACGGGCTCCATCCCGCGGGCGAGACGGGAGCTGCGGGTGCCGGGACACGGAGGGGGGGGGGTTAAATCCCTGCTGGACCCCCCCCCAAAAAATGGGGACAGGGATGGGGACGGGGATGGGGTCCGCGGGTCCCCAGCAGCTGCGGGTCTCAGGGCTCGTACTGCAGGTCCGTGGCGAGGAGCATGAAGCCCTGCGGGGAAAATGGGGTGAGATTTGGGGGGGGGGGACACGGTGACACCGGGGGTGAGGGGACGGGGGGGGCACCCACCTCGTGCAGCGAGAGGCGCGGGTGAACCAGGCTGAGGCCGCGGGGGGTGGGCAGCGGGACCCCCGACTGGAGCCGCTCTGGGGGGGGGACAGCGGGGCCGTGAGCGGGACGGACCCAAAACAGACCCAAAACAGACCCAAAACAGACCCAGGACAGCCCAGGGGGCAGCCAGGGTTTGGTGGGGGCAGCGAGGGGGGGGTCACACTCACTGTTTGCCCAGGGCACCCCAAAAAGCCACAGCCCGAATTTCAGCACGTTCTCCAGCTTCTTCACCTGCGGCACACGGCGAGCCCTGAGCCTGGGGGGGGGCTTGCACCGAGCTGTGCCCCCCCCCCCAGCCCCCAGCCCCCAGCCCCCAGCCCCCTGCTCCTGGCTGTGCTGGGGTCACCCCCCTCCCCTATAGCCCCCCTATAGCCCCCCGTGGTTGCTCACCTGCAGCGGCCCCACCTGCGAGGTCACCTGCGCCACGCTGAGGCTGGAGGAGAAATTGGGGTCAGCACTGGGGTGGGGGCTGTGTCCCTGTGTCCCCCCCCCCCCCCATAGCGCAGGGATGGGATGAGCCCAGCAGGGCCGGGAGCCCCCACCCCACAGCGGCTCCAGCTGAGGACCCGAGCACGGCTGAGAGCCGGGGGCAGGATGAAACGGCCCCAGGGAGGGAAATGGTCAGAGGGGGAGGACGGGGGGGGGGGCTTCGTGGGGGTGTCCCAAATCCCGGACCCAACGTGGGGCTGGGGTCTCACCTCGTCAGCCGCACGGTGCCCCCCAGCCTGTTCCCAGTGATGGTCGGCTTCCCCGTCACGTTGGCGTCCTGCAGCGAGAGGGGACGTTGGGGACACTGGGGCAGTGCCTACAGCACCCGCAGGGCCCCAGTAAGACCCAGTAAGACCCCAGTAAGACCCCAGTAAGACCCCAGTTAAGACCCCAGCCCCCCGGGGCCATGCGCTCACGATGTCCAGCAGGAAGACGGGCGCACGGGTGGCGTTGGGCAGCACCACGAAGGCCTCGGCGGAGCCGTAGAGGGTCCCGTGCAGGGCGTCGGGGTGGCAGGAGAGCAGGGGCTGCCGGCGGGCTGAGAGCTGCAGCTCCATGGGCAGGTCGGGGAAGAGCTCCTGCAGCTGGGGGGGGCGAGGGTAGGGTTGGCACCGAGCCCCCCCACGGGCACCCGGCACCACCCCGACCTAGTCACCACCCTGCCCTGGGGGCACAACGCTCCCCATCCTGCCCCCAATGTGCCCCGTCCCTGCACCCCCTCTGATGTCTCCCCCTCTCATGTCCCCCCCCCGTCCCATCCCACCTTCCTGACCCCATACCCGAACCCTCCCGCAGCCCCCCCTGTCCCCTTTTCCCCCCCCTTTTACCCACCTGTGGGGAGAAGCTCCCCAAGCTCTTGGTCCTCAGCTGGATGGGGAAGCGCCGCGGGAGCTGGAAGGCAGCAGAGGGACCGGGTGAGCGGGGTGGGGGTGGCCACGGGACCCCCCCCCAGGCAGGGTTTTGCGGGGCAGCAGCGCCGTGCGGTGCCGGAGCCCCCCCCGTACCGCCTCGCTGGAGATGTTCCTGCGCAGGGCCCCCGCCGTGAAGTACACGAAGGCGGCGGAGTTGGCCACGAATTCGGTCAGGGCGAGCAGCACCATGGGCTCGTGCGCCTCGGGCAGCCCCACGGGTTTGGGTGAGAAGGGGCTCTGCCAGCGCCTGCCCACCCCGAAAAATTCACCCTGCGTGGACAGACGGACAGATGGACATTGGGATCAGTCTGGACCCCCCCCTCAAACACTTTTCCCCCCCGGGGTTGGCACCACCTTGAGGCTGACGTCCCCGTGCTCCGCGGTGATGTCCGGGCGGCCCAGCAAGGAGAGGTCGATGGCAGCGAAGGGGTCGAGCTGGGGGGACACTGCAGGAGGCAGGGACGTGTTGGGGATGGGATGGGATGGGATGGGACATCCTCCTGCCACCCCAACCCCATAGACATGGAGCTAAAGGGGTCCCACAGACCCCTCCGGGCACCAGCCCCCAGCCCTTCTCCCCCAGCTCCCACCTCGCATGCGCTTTAGGGAAGCCTCCATCCTGCTGATGCTCTTCTCAAGCTCGACGCAGAGCTGGAAGCAGAGCAGGGCATCAGGGAGCAGCCCCAAAATGGGGTCCCCGAGCTCCTGGCTGGGCTGGGGGCACAGTGCCAGGGCCACCAGCAGCAGCAGGGCAGCGCTCACCTGCTTGTTCAGCTGCTGCCGCAGGGTCCTTTGGAACAGCGGCACCAGGAGGTTGTAGAGCCAGCTGAGGGGCACAGAACGGGGGGGTCCTCAGCTCGCCCCCAGCCTCCCCAACACCCCCACCCTCACCCCAGGCTTCCCCGTGATGGGAGCAAGGTGCCCGGCGTCACCTCTGTCCCCGGTGAAACTCCAGGTGCAGGTCGGTGCCGCGGGCATCACAGCCGGCAGCCCACACGGCGGGGCGGCCGCCCTCGTCCACGCTCAGCCCCAGCAGCACCGCCACGGCCAGGTCGGCCACGTGAAGCTGAACCACGCCGCTGTCCTGGCTGGGGAACACGGGGGGGGTGAGCACAGGGCCGGGGGGGGGCCCCCATCCTCGTCCCCGGGTGTGGACTCACAAGGTGCCCAGCTGCGCGCTCCAGTTGGCGCTGAGCTGGATGCGGGCGCCCCGCACCGCCAGCCGCACGCCCACGTCCTCGGCGAAGCCCACGGAGGAGTCGTTCATCTGCAGCTCCTGGATGTGGATCCTGGGCACAACGGGCAGCCGGGGGTCATGGCAGGGCGCAGAGGGGACGGGGATGGGGATTAGGACAGGGATGGGGACGGGGACGGGACGGGATGGATGGGATGGGGATGGGATGGGGACGGGGATGGGATGGGATGGGATGGGGATGGGGATGGGGATGGGGATGGGGATGGGATGGGATGGGATGGGGATGGGGATGGAGTTGCAGTGGGGGCTCTTACCGGGGCACGCTGTACTGGATCTCCCCCAGGAAGGGGGGCCGGTAGGAGCCCTGCAGGTTCAGCTCGTGTTCCTTCTGCAGCTGTGACCGCAGCAGCTCCAGCCCGAAGTGCCGGCCTGGGGCAGAGCAGGGAGGCTCAGGGCTGGTGCCAGAGCACCCAGGGGTGCTGCTGGGCTCAGGCCATCCCCGGGATCTGGACGTGGTCCCTGGGGTGCCCCACAAGCCCCCCTATCTCCCCTCCCCACCCCAGGCACCCACCGTACTCCAGGGCCCTCTGGGTCACCCTGCCCTTGATGCCAGGACTGGAGCTGGTGGCAGGCGAGCAGGCGGCCGGCAGGAGCAGGAGGCAGAGCAGCGCCAGGGCCGAGCCCCACGGTGGGCGTCTGGGAGCCGAGAGCCCCCCCTCAGCCCTGGGGCAGCTGCGTGACCTGGGGGCTGGAGCAGAGGACATGGCTGAGCCCCCGACCCGCTCCCCGGCCTTATATCGGGGCGCCCCGGGGCTGACATCAGCTCCCCGTGCGCACGCCGGGGACACCGCGGTGCGCCCGCCGCTGAAAGCCCGACCTTGCCCAACGCGTGACTCAGAGGGGAAGCCGTTCCCCCGCCGTTCCCCGTCCTGGGAGCGCAGGAAGGAGAGGGTCCCCCCCCGGCGTCACAGCCGGCCACAGGTTGCGTGGGACCGGGGACACCGAGCACGGCCACGGCGCTGTCCTCGTGTCCCGGCGGGAGGGGACGGCGCGGGGACGGGGGTACAAGGGGATGGGGCGAAGAGGATGGAGTGGGGCTGTGTCAGGGGAGGGGGCTCAGCCCACGTGGAGATGTTCCCACTTTGGGGTCGTGTGGGGTCACCCAAAGCCTTTGGGGGGGTAGGGGAGCGCTGGGACACGGCCGGCAGCCCCAGACCACAGGGTGACGAGAAGGCAGGGGCAGGCAGAGCACGAGCAGAACTCTGCGGTCCCTCCGAAAGCCCCGTCCAGCAGGAAGGAGCCGTGCGGGCAGACGGCGGCCCCTGGGCTGGGGAAAACCCCCCCTGGGTCCGGGCAGCGGCTGCCTGGGGAGCGGGGCCGTGGGGTGCTCGGCCGCCTGCCTGGGGACAGCCCCTGGCCAGGGACACGGGCACACGCTCCCAGGGACCAGGGTCCCATCCCAGCCCCATGGGGGACACGGGACCCACGGCCAGCCCCACACAGCGCACCTCATGGCCCCCTCAGGAGCCCACTTGCCCCAGACCCCACAGCAGCAGCGATGTCCCCAGCGCCCAGCAGCGTCCCAAAACCCAGCCCAGCCACCAGCGCTGTCCCAGCCCCGTGCCCACCCCGACCCCTCCACCCTTGGGTGCCCCATCCCGGGCCCATCCTCACCGTGGCAGGCGGTGGCGGTGCCCCCCGGTGCCATCGCGGGTCCCGTTTCCATCATCTCCCCCAGGGCTGCGAGTGGCAGCAGGGCCCCGTGCCGCCGGTGGCCATCCCGGGGCAGCCAGGCTGGTCCAACCAGAACCTCACCCAGGTCCCCGTGTCCCTAATCCCTTCCGGGATGAGTCAGGTCCCAGCCGCAGCACCCAGGGACTTGTTGGGGCGCGGGTGCCCGCAGGGACCCGGCCTTCCCTGGGGCTTTCCTGCAGCTCCTGGCACGGCCGCATCCGGCACACGGGCACGTGGCGGAGCTCAGCCCAACCCCACAAATCCCATCCGCAGCTCTCCGAGCGTCCCCAAAGGTGCCACAGCCCCCGTACACGGACCCCTGGGGTGGAGGACAGCAGTGCCAGGGGGGCGAGGGCAGCGGGATGGGGTGGGAGCAGGGATGTGGGGCAGCGGGACACGGTGCCACGCAGGGAGCCCTTGTCCCCAGGGTGCCACGCAGGGATCCCTGCTCCCTGGGGTGTCCCACACAGATCCCTGCTCCCTGGGGTGCCCCACACAGATCCCTGCACCCCAGGGTGCTGCGCCCAGCGCCCACCTCCCCGTGTCTCCATCCCCGTGCCCCCCACCCCTTGGCACGGCTGCGGCCGCTCTGCTGGAGCCCGGCACGGCCCCGCTGCCCCCTGCAGCCCCCAAAACCCCCCCGGTAAAGCCGGGCCTGGCCGTGCCCCCCCCTCCCCGGGCCCTGCCGTGCAGTGCGGGCAGACACCGGGAGGGGGACCCAGCGGCACGGCCACGAAAGCGCCGCGCTCCCGGGGCTGGGACGGAGCCTGGAGGGGCCGGGGCGGCGATGGGGGGGTCCGGGGGTGCTGGGGGGGGGGGGTCCTGGTGGGTGCTGGAGGGGAGCCAGGGGATGTCGGGGGGGGCGTCGGGCCGGTGGGTGGGTTCATCCAGTGGGGTCCGCAGCCCCCGGTACCCCCCCGGTGCGTCCCTGCTGCTGCCCCAGCTGGGATAAGGCCGGGGGGGGCTGAGCACCAGGCGGAGCCGTGCCCGTGCCGCGCCCCCTGGCACCCTGCAGACCCCCCCCTAAAGAAGGGGAGCCCTGCGGGACCCCCACCTCGACCAGGAGCCCCCCAGCCCCCGACCCTCTGCCCCCATCCCCGGGCGCGCAGCACCCGGGGGGGCTGTATCAGAGGTGGGGGCGCAAGCAGAACCCCCAGACCCTGCTTTTTCCCCCCAGCCCCCCCGGGAAGGGCCGGGCACGGTGGCTCCAGCCCCGGGGGGGGGCTCCTGAGTCATGGGGCAGCCTCCTGGGGGCCTGCAGGGCTGGGGGGCACCCACAGCTGGGGGGGGTTGCACAACCTCGGCCACAAAACTTCCTTCTGCTGCTCCGTGTCCCCAGGGCTGTTCCTTGTCCCCAGGGCTCCTCTGTGTCCCCAGGGCTGGCCCCAGCACCCTGGGGCCCGCAGGAGCTGCAGCTCCGGGCAGCCCACGGTGGGGACTGTCCCTCAGGGTAGCCCACGGGGGGGGCTGTCCCACGCCGTGTCCCCTGCCCCATCACTTGGTCGGTGACGGTGTGTGAGTTACGGGAGGCCACGGGCAGCCCTGCGGGGAAGTGGGGCGAGGGCAGGCCCCGGAGATGTCCCTGGGCAGCTCACCCCATGGCACCCACCCGTGGGGACACATCCCAGCAGCAGGGGGGGGAAGCAGCTGCCCCCCTGCGCCTCCCCAAGGGTCCCCTTTCAGCCTCAAACCATGTCGCAGCACGGGGAGCTGGAGCAGGCTGTGCCCCCCCCCAGTCCCTGCTGGGGGGCAGCAAGGGCACAGCCCCCATGGGTAGGGGGCTGGGATGGGGATGTGCCACTTGCAGCCCCCCCCCCCACTAAAACTCACTGCAGGGAACCCCAACCAGCCCCGTCCCTGCCTCCTGAGCCCCCCCATGCCCTACAGGGGGGTGTGAGGAGACCCCCCCAGAGCTTTCAGCCCCATAGGGGGGGCACAGGGAGATGGCAGGGCATGCCCACCCCTAGGTGTGCCTCCCCCCGGGGCTCAATGCCCACTGCCCTATGCTGGGGGGGGGGGTCACTCACACACAGCCTCTGCCCCACAGCACCCCAGTCCCACCAGTACAGGGGCCAGCCTGAGCCCCAGTGCCCCCTCACAGCACCCCCATAGCCCAGGATGGGCTCCTATGGGACTCCTGATGCGTGCCCAGGCTCTGGGGGCAAGCCAGGAGGGATCCCCCCCCCCCCAGAAAAAAAAGCCCCGTGCAATGCAGCCACGAAGACGCGTGCCTGGTAATCAGGGCTTGTTTAATAACAAAACTCCGGCTATTGTAGAACAATATTCTCCAGCATCATTGTAATATACAATACAGGGAATGCTCTCAGCAATCTGAGAAGGTTACGATCCGAAGCCCCCGGCTTGGGGGGGGGGCTCCGGCTGCAGCCCCGCAGCTTCGGGCCCCCTCCCATCCGTGCCCGGGGGTCCCATCCGGAGCGCGGCGGCGCTGCTGGGGGGGGGTCCCGGCGGGTCCGTGGTGGTCTCAGCGGCACAGGATGCGGTCGGCAGCGGGCATGCACGGAGCCTGCGGGAATGGGAACGGAGCGGGAGGTCAGGGCTGCTCGGGGACCGGGGGGGGGGACGGGACAAGGGGGTGACGGTGTGGGGGGGGGCGCCCCAGGGATACGGGGGGACGGGCAGGGGGGGGACGGTGGAGGGGCTGTCCCGGGAAAGGGGGAAAAGGGGGAAAAAAAAGGGGGAAAAAGGGGAGGAAAAAAAGGGGAAAAGGGGGAAAGGGGGGAAAAAAGGGGGAAAGGGGGGAAAAAGGGGGGAAAAGGGGGGCGGAAAAAAGGGGGGAAAAAGGGGTTAAAGGGGGGGAAAAGGGGAGGGAAAGGGGCACCCCTTGGGGCCGGGCAGGGCTCGGTGCAGCCCCAGCACCGCACTCACATCGGGGGGCTCGGCGTTGTTGGGGGGCCGGGGGGCCCGGGCTGCAGCGCGAGCTGCAGGTCCCAGATGTAGTCGATGACATGCTGCAGCAGCTCCACATTGGACACCCTCCGGTGCCGGGGCAGGGTGGGCACCAGAGCCTTAGGCGCGAGTAGCAGCCCTTCATATCGTACAGCAGCGCGGCCGCCGCTTGCTCCGCCGCGATCGCTCCCGGACCCGGGCCCGGCCCGCAGCGGGCGGCTTCTCCCGGCCTCACCGCCTTCAACGCCCCGCCGGGCCCGGCGGGCAACGGAGACGGGGAGACGGCGGCGACCTTCATGGTGAGCGTATGGAGGAGCGGAGCGCGGCGGGCGGCGCTAGGACCCTGCGGGCGGCCGTGGGAGCGCTGCGCCCCCGCCGCGCCGCGCCGCGCCAATTATAGAGCGCAAACGACAGGGGCGGGGCCTCGTGGGGAGCGGCAGCCAATGGCGAGGCAGAAGGGGCGGGGCCAGCGGCGGCCGCCCCATTCATGAGCCCCGAAGGGCAGAGCCTTAAGGGGCCGCGGGTGGGGGGGAGAGCGGGAGGGGGGCTTGGGATACGAGGAGGGGGCTGGAGGGGTGCGGGGGGGCCCTCCCCGAAGCGAGCCCGTACCGGGGTCCCCCACAACCCCCCCAGCCCCCCCGCAGCCCCCCGGGCTCCCCGCACCCCCCGGGGTCCCTCCACCGCCGGGCTCCCACAGCCCAGCCCCCCCCCCTTCCCATTGCCCCCCCCGTGCCCTGCAGCTCCCACGCCCCCCACACCCCCCCCACACCCCCCCACACCCTCCCACCCTCCCCCGCCCCCCACCCCCCCCCCACACCCCCCCCCAGCCCTCCCACCCCCCCCACCCCCCTGGCCCCGCTGCCGCCCCCCGTAGCCCCCCCCCTCCCTTCCCCCCCCCCCCCCGGGCGGCTCAGACCGTTAGACGCCAGGCCCGTGACGTCACCCATTCATAAAACCCCGCGCGCTGTCAGCGCGGCGCCTGGCGGGCGGTGCCCATGGAGACGGGGGCGGGGCGGGGGGGGGGTGTAGGGGGGGCACCTGCGGCCACCGGGGCACGGCTGGGGGGCAGGGGGACAAGGGGACACGGGGACACCCCCCGGGGACCCCTCAGCCCTGGCCCTGCTCGCCCTCGGGCCGCCCCCCCCCCCTATCCCCGGAGCTCCCCGGTGTGCGCGGCTGCGGCTCGGGGGGGACCCGGCTGCGGGACGGGGACGGGGACGGGGATGGGGAGGTCCCCCCCTGGGCGGCTGCAGCCTCGGTGCAGCCCCGAGCCGAAACCAAACCAGGCCCTGCCCCGAAGGGCTTCCGATCCGGGCGCTAATTAGCGCTAATGATCGTGCCCGGCTCCCCGCACCTGCATCTCTTTGGGGGGGGGGGGCTTTGGGCAGGACCCGACCCCGCAGCTGCAGCAGGAGCAGAGCGGTTGGGAGCAGCTCTCCGGGGGCAGCTGCAGCCTCCTCGGCCACCCGCACGCTTGGGGACGTGTGAGCGAGTGTGCAGGGCACGGGGGCACGCACACGGCCGTGCATGCGCGCACACGCACGGGCGTGCACGAGGAAACGCAGTCGTGCACAGCCCTGTGGAAGCCCCCACGTGCACAAACCCGGCCGTGCGCAGCGGCTGCAGAAGCAGGGATGGACGCGGGGACCCCGCGGGTACCCCATGTGGGTGCCCCGTGCTCCCCGTCCTCGTGGCGTGGCTGTGTCAGGGCCAGGCCCTGCTATGGGGGAGCCCGCAGCGTCTCCCTGGGTGTGGGGTGAGCTGAAGGCTTCTCCTCATCTTCCTCTGCAGGGTGGGGGTAACCCTGGAGCCTGCTGCGCATGGAGGGGCTGTAACGCAGCACCTCGGGGCTCTGCGTGGCCAGGGACAGCTGCGTCCCTCCGTCCTCCCATCCCTCCGTCCTCCCATCCCTCCATCCTCCCATCCCTCCGTCCTCCCATCCCTCGGTCCCTCCATCCCCCTGGCTTTGTGAGCACATCCGTCCCTCCGTCCCTCCCTCTGTCCCTCTGTCCCTTCATCCCCGAGCGGTTCCCAGGGTGGGCACGGCGCTGGGGTCGCCCCCTCCATTCAAGGGCCCCGAGGAGGGGGCCTGGTGCTGCCCGGTTCCCACCGCGGCTCTCAAAGCCACTAATTAGCCCCCATCTGGCGGTGGTGGCCCGGCCGCGGCGGGGAGGCCGGGGACATTGTGCGCAGGAATGCCTTTCAGTGCCGCCGGCCCGGCCGCGCGCCCGCCAGCTGCACCGCCAACAATGCGCCACGGCCGGGACGAGCCAGCCCCGAGCACCCCGGGTGGCGTTGGGGACATGGACACGGGCGTCCCCTCGTCCTGCGGGGGTCCTCCTGGTTGTGGGATCCCCCCCACTTCGGTTCTTTGGGGTGCTGGAGCTGGCGGCGTGGCCCCGTGGTGCTGCCCTGGTTGTAGCCGGGTGCCGGTGTCGGCCCCCAAGACGGATGGCTTCATTTCCATCTCAATTCTGGGAACGGTGGCCTCGGCCATATGGCGCTGGCGGGGCGCAGCCCGGCCGGGAGCGCGGCTGCTTTGCGCCGAGCAGGGGTTGCCCAGCAGCCGAGCACATCAAAGCCCCCGGCCGTGCCCCCCCCCCCCCTGCACCGGCGGGACCACACAGGGCACGGCCGCACCGAGGGGCTGCCCGCGCCGTGGGGACGATAGGGGACAGGGGCTGGGCAGTGCCCACGCCCCGTGGCAGCACCCAGCTCCGGGTGCAGGGCTCTGCAACGTGGAGCTGAGTTCCCCAGCGGGCACTGATGCGTTTGGGGGGGGCTCAGGTTTGGGTTTTGTGCCCCTAAAAGCAGCAGCAATGGGATGGGCTCCTGCAGGACGCCACGGAGCCAGACGCGGACGTGTGGCTGAGCGCAGGAGGGGATCCCACGGACCTGCAGACACCAGGGTGCCCGCGACATGAATGGGTTCCCCCCCAAATTTTGTCTACTCAGCCCTCTGCATCGCCTCCAAGCCCAGCCATCCCCGTGCCTATCAGGAGCCCCAACGCTGCCTGGGGCCAGCAGCACCCGTTGCACAGCTGGAGCGGGGCCGAGGCCTGAGAAAGCCCCCGCGCGTTCCCCTCCCGCCTTCTCCCTTCCCCTTCCCGGCTCCATCCGCTGCAGCCCAGACCAGCTGGAGCCAGGCGGCCCTTCCTGGGATTTATTCCAGCTTCCTGCCCCTCCTCGCCGGCAGGCCGGGGACGGGGCTGCTCTCGCCTGCTTCCTCTCCCTGCTCGCAGCCGACGGCCGGGCGCCGGCGTTTCGTGGGACCCTGGCTCTCACCAGCGGCCCCCCCATCGTGGCCGGGTGTCCCTGGCTCCAGGTGCTGCGACACAGCACTGGGGGACGGGGTGGATGGAGCAGGGTGCTGCCCCCAGCACCCATCCCTTTTAGGGAGGCTCTGCAGGGTGCCAGGGACCAGCAGACCCCATGTGGCCCCCCCAGGCACCAGCATTTCACACCCTATGCTCAGCGTTTGCACCCATGGGTGCTCCCTGTGCACCCACAGCCCGTCCTACTGGGGCTGTAGGGCTGAGTTCAGCCCCTGGCACAAGGGGAAGGTGCCTGGGGTGCCGCAGGCAGTGTTTGAGGAGGGGGAATCACCCCAAACCCCACATCTAGGGCAGCAGGGATGGAGCCATCCCCCAGCCCCGTGGACGGAGGGCTCATGCTGGAACCGGGGGGATTTTTCCGTGTCCCCCACAAACCAAAGGGACCCCACAGCAGGGGGAAGGTGGCTCAGACAGAGCGGAGCCGTGCAGCCGCTGCAGGACCCAGGTGCAGCAGGGGCAGGAGAGCCCCGGGGGCCGCCCAGGCGCTGGCTCTGCTCCCAGCTCCTTGCAGGGCCCGAGCGCTTCCTTCCTCCGGGCTCTGCCCCGCTTATCGGCCGGGCAGGGCCGGGGTGACCCCGCTGTCCCCTCTCCGTGCCTTTCCGCTCCCCGTGGCGCCGCAGGGAGCCCCTTGGAAAGCTCCCAGCTCGCTGCCACGCTCCTGCTGCCCACAGCTCCGCGGGCAGAAGCAGGGAGCGAGGAGGAAGAGGGCGATGAGAGGGGCACGGCTGGGGGACCAAACGCACCCCAAAACCACGGAGGCTGAGCGGGGATAGGTGCGAGACCCCCGGGGATGCCCCCAGCCGAATTTTGGGAGGACACGGAGCCTTGTGGGACGCGGTGGCAGCCCCACAGCCTCGGGCACGGCCCCACAGCCTCGGGCACGGCCCCGTGTCGTGGCCCCGTGTCGTTTTCCACGGGGCACTGGAGCCTGGTGGAATCACATCTGGAGTCTAGACTCAGCGGCTCTGTGGGCCGGGCCTGGCGGCCGCGCGGTGCCCAGGCCCCCGCTGCACACTGTTTGCTTAGCTGGAGGTATTTAATTGGAATTAAAGTGGCCCCTCTTGTTTTTGCGGACAGGGCCGTTGGAAAAAGGAGCTGTAAGTCATAGAAAACATCTGTAGGAGCCCGCGCGGGGTCATTAGATGGCAGAAGGCGAGGCGCCACTTTTAGTGCTCGCAGCCCAGGCGGGGAATAATGGCTCAATACGGCTTTTGTGGAGGGGCTGCCAAGCCAGCAAACACTTTCTATTTATTCTGGCAGTGGGCACGGCCCGAGGGATGCGGGATCCTCTGCTCGCCTGCCCCGAGGCGGGCAGGGAGGACAGTGCTGGTGCCGCAGGGCGCAGGGCAAACGGCCCCAAGCAGGAACCAGAGCTTGGTGCAGTGGCCACGGCCCCAAATATTGGTGCTGCGGCATCGAGGCCAGGTTGGGGCTGGGCAGAGCACAGCAGGAGGGGAAGGGGACGGTCACTTGGGTGCAAAGAAAAGGATCCCAGACCCCAAGGGGGGAAATAAAGCTGCTGGAAGGGCTCGGATGCTCACCCAGAGCTCATGCACCAGGCTCGAGCAGCCCCAAGAACCCCCCCGGCACCGCTTCCTTTGAGATGGTTTAATATGAGAGAAAGCAAATGCACAATACAAAATTTAAAAACCGGCCTGTGGGGTGCCGCCCGCCCGCCCCGCACCCCCAAAGGAGCCCAAGCGAAAGGGAAGGGGGGGCTGCACGGCCCCTGGGGAGGGGAGGGGGGTGGACACGCGGCGTACATCGATGCCCCCCACCTGGGCGGCTGCTCCGACACACACAACACGATGCTCTGGCACAATTGTCTCGTCGTCTGTCACTCGAGGGGGGGGTCTGGAAGGGTCCCCAGCCCGGCAGCGCCGAGCCTGGCCCCCCCGGGCAAGGTCACTTCTCCTTCTTGTCAGCTGCTGTGGGCTCCTCTTTGGAGGCCCCCGGCGCCTCCTTGGGGGTAGAGCTCTCCTCGTAGCTGGGGACAGAGGGACGAGAGGGGTGCAATTAGCAGGGGGGAGCCCTGCCCCGGGGACAAGAAC